CCATTAACGAGTTAATAACTGTGACAGTAATAACAGTGCCGTCCTTATTGTTATGATTAAAATAATTTTGTTGCATTTTATCATTTGATTAAATCATGAAATATTTGTCTTTTCAGATGTTTTGTGCATTTTTTCATTTCTTTTATTACCATTTCCCTTTCCTCTCTGTCTCTCTCTTTCTTTCTCTCTCTCTTTTTCTCTCTCTCTCTCTCCCATCCAGTTTCGTTTTTTCTCGCTTATTTTTGTCTGGAATTTTTTTTAGATTTTCAACTAATTACTATAATTCTTAATATAAAGTTCTGGTTGTAATTTTTTAAACCGCTAATTTATGTTTGTTAACGCTAATATTGATTTTTAGTAGTTTTTTCTAATGTTTAATTTCGGCCTATTCTTTTTTTCTTCATTTTTATTTGCGTTTCCTTACAAATTTCAATTACTAACCAAATATCACATCCCCTAATTACGGCATTTCTTTTTTTTCTTTTGATTTTCGGTCAGTTCATTTCTTTATTTTATTGAAATTTCTTTTCTATTTAAATTTCAACTACTCAAAATATACACCCTACCATTATTACAATTTTTTCTTTTTTCTTTCCATCTTTTTCTTATTTTACTTTAAACTATTGTTGTTGCTTCGTATCGTTTCGAAATTTTATCATTTATTTTTATCAAATTTTTTATGGAAAATGTTGTTTTCTTGGACAAACAATAGAGAACTTTCATGTTCTTTGTCTCATAATTTTATTCATTTCTTTCAAACATTTTATTTCAATGGTAATTTATGGAATTCGAGAGCAATTTTATTGCTATCATGAAAATTCATTAATGATAACATTGGCTTTACATTTTATTAACAAGTGATAGTGTTATGAGATCACGGATTAATTTAATTATCAGAACTGATTTATATATAAAACACTGGTCATAAAATGCTTCCAATTATATTAATTTAGTATCAGAATTTACATTAATTTAATTAACGATTAATTATGAAAAAAGGACGGAAAAAAAGATCTAATCCTATAATGTTACACATTTATTATTTGATTTTTTTTTTTAAATTAATCGTAATTACCAATTAATTCCTGCATATTTGCTCTCCTGTTGGAAGTATAAATCAGGCGAAACGTTTGAAAAAGTTTGTTTTAATCCATTTCAAATCATAATCAAATAATCATTTTTGCAGAGCAATTAACAGCACCTTGTTCTATTGCTATATTATGATCAAATATCATCCAAGAAGGCGCAATTGTAATTAGCGCATTTTTTTGTGTGTAATCAAAAATTAAAAAAAAAAAAGGGAAAAGAAAGAGAAATTCCTATTGCCATTATTTTATCATATTTATTAAAAAGGAACTCGACAAGGTCTAAATGTTACTCAAAGGTCCAGGTAGGAATTTAGGACTCAGGTTGAAATTAATTAATTACCTCATATTAAAAGTAATAACGCATGAATTTAATTAAATATGCTCTTTTTCTTAATAGACAAATGATTTATTTTTTTCTTTTTTTTTTCTTGTTTCTTTGCTATACTTTGCATTAAATTTTTGCTGCTGTAATAGTTAATTACTTAACTGAAAAAGATCCACTAAGAGAATAGAATAATATAGAATATACATTAGATGGAGTAGAATAAAAAATTTTTTAGCAAAATATCAGTTATTGCATTTTCTATTTTTCTTCAATTTGTTTATTTATTTATTTTTTTTTCATTTCAGATTCAACACAAGAACAGGTGCGAGTGCCAAATGTTATAGCATTGGCTGGTTTACCGGCTCGTGGCAAAACATTCATTTCACATAAATTATGCCGATATTTGAATTGGATTGGAATTAAAACAAAAGGTTTTTTCTAGCCATTAGCAATTTGATATTGAACGCATTAATTAAAATTTTATTTCTCGGAGTAATGTGCAACAACTATTCAAACTAATATTGTTGAATAACAAAAAAAAAAAAAAATTATCTAATTTAAAAACAAGAAAAAACTTCTGCACTAATAATTTGAAATGGAATTCATATTTTATCAATACGAAATCACAAATGTCAAAAAATTGGTGGAAATTAGCAATTAAAAAAAATGTCAATAATTGGCTAATTGAAATTTTGTTAATTAGCCGTATTGAAAAATCAGGCAAAAATTTAATGTGGAAAAAAGTTATAATTTAATTGCACCATTTTAGCTTTTAATGTTGGTGATTATCGTCGAAAAGTGTGCAGCACAGAGGATTGTGAATCGCAGTTTTTTAGTCCATTCAATAAAATAGGCAGTAAAATGAGAGAGTAAGTAATGATAAAATTTTACTTGTTTACCATCATCATTATCATTTTTTTGTTTCATTTTGTTTCTTTTTGCGCTAATTAATTATTTCACTTTATTTAATTATCCCACGGACTTGTAGTAAATTAAATAAAAAATTACAAAAAGAATAATATTTGCTTTTTTTTATTGTTTAAGTCATAAAAAAGTATAATATCGTAATAGATAAAGGGAAAATTGAAACATTTTTGCATCAATCTTTTTTTTCTGTTTATCAAATTTTTAAGTTTTTCCATTTATTATTAATTTTTGATCTTTCGTTCTTTTTTTTTGCTGAAATATTATTCAATATTTTCGCATCACATCTGTTTCAGAGGAGAAAAAAAAAGGAAAGAAACATATATGTTAAAAATTGGAATTGTAATGAATTCAATTATATTTACTAAAACATTATTATTGCAAAATGTAACAAAAAAAGTTGTAAATTTTGTTGAAAATTAAATTTTTATTTTTATTTGAGTTAAATTTTTTATTTTCAAATTTGTCTTTTTAGTGAATGTGCAAAACTAGCAATGGAAGATTTGGAGCGTTATTTGACGAGTAAAGAGGGTGAAGTTGCTGTTAGTTTTATCGAAATCATTTTTTTCCTTTAAAAAATTTGAAAAAGTTTTTTTTATAGGAAGTTTTAAAAATGGCAACAACTTTCTTCTTCCAAGCTCTTTCAACTATCATCAATCCTCCACGCCTCAAACTTTTAAAACTTTCTATAAAAAAAGCAAACGATATTTCATCTTTGCTTCATTATGATGATAAAATCATCATATGTATGTAACAGTAATTTCTTTTCAGTGAAAAATTTCAGAAATTAAAATTTCAAAAAAGGAAAAAAAAAACGTTTCGAATCGTATTTTTCTCTACTCGATAATATTATAATAAAAAAAATCATAGGAAGTAAACAGCTCAAAAAAAAGAAAAAGAAGCACGATACTACTGATTTGTAGAATTTAATTCATTTGAATCATTCAAAAAAAAAAATCTATCCATCACAAAGAAAAGAAAAAAACTAAAAGAAATTTAAAATTTCATTTCCAGCCGATTAAAGTGAAATAATTCAAAATGTGTTTATCAATGCAAAAAAATATATTTATCAATTTGGGATTTTCACATTTTTGTGGAAATAACTGTAGGAAAGATATTGATTGATTAGTTATGCCTGAACATGTAGCCTAAGTTTAACTTTAAGAGACAACAGGTAGAAGGGGAAAGAATGAGTGAGAAGTGGTCAGGTGAAAGCAAACGGTCAAGGTGATATCGATAATATTTTTGTTTTTGTTTTTTTTTTTTTCTAAGGTAACTAATAACTGGTTTAATAAATCCATAAAAAAGATTTCAAAAAGAAATGAAATAGTAATTTAAAACTTATCAGTTTATAAAATGATCAATAATATTTAATTATTGCTGCTCAGATAGCATTGTATGAAAGTAAGCAAATATATGAAAGAATCATATTCAGTAAAAAAGCAATAGCAGAAAATTTAAAATTTCTAAATTTAAATTGAATTTTCTATTTAGATTTTTGATGCTACAAATACAACACGTGAACGACGTAATTGGCTAAATAATTTTTGCCATCGTGAAGATCGCGACCCACCATTTCGGCTATTTTTCGTCGAAAGCATATGTGATGATCCGGATATTATCAATGCTAATATCACTGTGAGTTCCATTTCAATTATCATTTTATCAAGTGGTGGAATGTAATTTAACGCTATATCAAATCAACTTTATTTTACTTTTTATTGATTTTCTTTTATTAATTTTTTTCATTTTTTTAAAATTGCTAAACAGTTAATGTTAGTAGAAATGAAATGATTTACTAGAAATTGAAATAGAAGTTCAGATTGAAAATTGCTTAGAAATGCGCATCGAAAGTATAGTAGTAATAAGAAGTAGCCTAAATAAATGATTCAAACGAATACTTGAATTTTTTGATCCTTTTCATTCTTTATATGAGCAAAAATTAATATGAAAAATCGAAGGCTTAAAAAACTAATTATTAAATTTTTTCATCAATTCTTTGCTTTCATTAAAAATTTTATTGTTGAAAAAAAAAAAATAACGTTAAAAATGTATTCCACCGATAGGAAGTGAAAGTCAATTCACCCGATTACAAAGGTCATATGACAGAAGATGAAGCGAAGGATGATTTTTTGAAACGAATTGAAAATTATAAATTACAGGTAATGTGAAATTTCAATTATGAAAAAATAAAATGACGTATAGAGGATACCCATTTCGATAGTTTAATTTCAACTTTTAATTGTATTTTAAATGAAAATGGTAGTGGATTGTAATATGATGAGTGAGAACTTAGAAAAGCAGAATTTTCGATCGGAATCAAAATATTTATCTTTAGCCTAAATTTTTCTAATTGAGTTTGAAGTATTGTACAAGTTAGGCTTGCATTTGTATTTAAAGATATACGCATATTATACATAAAAGATGAAGTCACAATTTTAATTTCATTTTTTTTTTCGTATAAATGATCAAAATCCATCTATTTTAATTCCAATGTTGTAGATAATTTAGTCATATTTGTATTTTTCTTACGTATGACACGCATATTTTACGTTTAACACCTCATATATGAAAGCGTTAACTTATACATAACATCTCATTTGCAGCTCTTAAATATGAAATAACAAAATTTAAAAAATTTTTATTTCCAATAGTAGCAAAAAATAATTTTGAGCATTTATTAAATGATTGTTGAAATATTTTGTGAAATTATTATGACAACTAATTTTTAATTTTAATAGAAATTGTATGAAAAATTGGAATTTTAAAATAAATTCCAAAGGATCAACTTTTTCAATTTTGTTCTTAATTTTCTACTCATACTAATTATAACACTATAAATTTCCCCGTTTTCTAATATATTTTCATCTCAAAATTAATTTTTTCAGAAGAAAAATTTGCTTCATTCATCAATATTTCATTTCTTATTTTATAGTTATAAAATAAAAATGAATGATGAATAGATGATTAATTAAATTGTAAACGTACGTACAATTATGTGTTGTATGTGTTTAATTTGATAATTAATAAATAGAATAATTTAATAAACTTGTAATTTTTATAATTATATCAAATAAAATAAATGAATTAACAAAGTTACAGTATGAGCCGATTGATGATGAATTAGATGATGCTTTATCATTTATCAAAGTAATCAATGCTGGTCGATCATTTTTTGTGCATAATGTAAATGGACATGTTCAAAGTCGAGTTGTATACTTTTTAATGAATATACATTTACTACCTCGTTCGATCTATCTTACAAGGGTAAATTAAATTGTTTTTTTTTTCTTGACTTTATTGCAATTTCATTCATAACTTTTGTTGCATTGTAAATAATTTATTCAATTGCAATTTGTTTTTTTTTTTTGTTTACTACATTTTATTTGTTTACTTATTTATTAAAATTTAATTTATTTCATTTCTTTTTTCATTCTTTTTGTTGCATTTTTTTCTGCCTGCATTTTCATATAAGCAGAAATTATATTCATTTAGCTATATTTAATATTTCATTATTTTTTTTGAAATATTGATTTTAAATTTTGAAATTTTCAAGTAATTGTTTATTTTGAAGTTATAATTGTAAAAGTATTAATATTGAAAAGAGAAAAAACAAGGGAAGCTTTGTTAGCTATCAAGTAATGTTTTTGAAGTTTCTTTCTTTGAATCATTTGAACAAAATTATGTTTTTATGAAATT